GTGTATTCCTATCCTAGTTTCAACTTCATTCTCTCAGTGTTTGAAACTTCCTTGCTTGAGACTCTATGATAGTAAAGGTTATTGCTATTGGAAAATGCAGTTTGCCCACATCTGAGTTCTAAACTGAAGGAAACGAGAGGGTAGTAGAGTATGCATTTGGGACCAGAAGGAAGTCCAGTAAATCTCTGGACCAGCAGTTTACCATTGGCTACAGTGGGGCTGAGAGAAGTTAAATGACTTCTGGGTTGCTCCGAGGGTTAATGGCCTGCAGATCTCTGACTCAGCCAACCATTTGGAAGAGGGGTCCTATCAATTCTCAATGAAGAAGCATCTCCTTTTGTAACACTGGGGTGGTGCTTACGAATAATAAATGAAGTGTGCCCAACTCCAGGGAGCTAGTTGAGTGCTTACTGCAGGTTGGGCTTAATTAATCTTTTGTTTTATGGAAAGACAGGCACCCAGAAGGAATTTCCTAAGATTACAGGATCATCGGCAAAGGCTCTCTGGTGGCGTGTGTTGCTGGATAAGGAAGCATGACATACACACCGGTCCTCATACTGTGGCTCACCATGTGGGAGCACTTGGACAAGCCACTTGGGTACCAATTTGAGTCTCAGTTTCTCTACCAGTGAAGGATTTCACTCGATGGCTAAGAGCACTTTAGCTCTGATGGGTTTTGGCTCTTCAGTCCAGCCTTAGGGCTCTTTAGTGTCGAAAACATGGCTGTGTGCAGCTCACAACCAACTGCAGATAGATGCCCCTGCAGGGTGTCCCACAGTAGGAGGATAAATGAGTTCTGCCTCCAAACACTGAGGAACAAAATATCTTTAGTGATTTGTATGCATAACAACAACAATAATAATAATAACACCAATAAATCTGTTTTTATTTTCTCCTCTAATCCCTTTTACCAGCTTCTTTGTGTTTGCCATCACTTACCTGTTCAGAGAGAAAACAGACAGTAACTAGCAAACAGGAAAATTGGAAATGTGGTATTTCTTATTTTCTGCTTTTTGAGTTTCAAGAAACAATACGTATTGAACATGTAAAACATATCACATGGCTCATGGATAGTCGCAATTGACATCTGCAATCAAAAGTAATTAAATCAGTGTTATCATGTTCCTTTTATAAAAGAAATAATTTACCAAGTTGGTACAAAAGTGGTAAGCAAAGAAGGTTAAGTTTGAAACCAGCATTTTGGACTCCAAAGCTCATATTTCTCACAATTCTAAGAAATAGCCATAAATACAACCATAAATTTAGCTAGAAAAAATTAATTTTATGTAAGAAACATAAATGTATCAACTTTTCATTGGACGACTCAGGGGGTGACAGCTCAGCTTCCCAGGACTGCAACATTTAAACATTTGTAAAATAGGCAAAGAAGATGAAGACTCAGCCCAACTTTGCCCAATATTTCAGCAGAGATCCGCTTCCTCATCTAGAATTACTCCAGTCAAAAGTATTTTCCTAGCCCTGCAGTGGGAAGAACACGCCTTTAATCCCAGCACTCGGGAGGCAGAGGCAGGTGGATCTCTGTGTGTTAGTGGTCAGCTGATTTCAGGACAGCCAGGGCTACACAGAGAAGTCCTGTCTTGAAAATCAAAACAAAACAAAAGTATTTTCCCTGTACATTGGCTGAGGGGCTGGGTGCAGGTGGCTGTCATGTCAGTTCGCACATGCCCTAGGCTTGTCTCTAACCCTTTCCCCAGTAATCAGTCCTGTAGCCCTCCTAGGAACACAAGCCAATACCAGAACACACTGAAGAATCCGTTTCTGGCGTCTGTATCGGTCCCCTCAAATATACCCATCCACGGATCCTTAAGCCTACGGACCAACATGGGACTAGATCCTACCAGTTGGCTCATCTACTTCCTGGCAATCGTGGGTGCTTCCAGCTTGCTGCTGATCGGATAGATACAGAAGACTTAGTTTTGACCTGGCCTTGAACAACCAAACCAGTCTAGGTCTGGGCCTCATGCAAAAACGTAGTAAACTGCATTGCCCTGTACTGCTGCTTCCAAGGTCTAGGGTTAAAAGTCAACTCACGTGGTTAAAGTACCACATTTTCTGTTTGCTCTTGCCCCAGAGTGGAAGCCACGTTGCCAGTCTGTCACCCTGTAACTGCCACAAAACAGCAGACCATTTAAGCTCAAAAGGGCTCTGGAGATCCGGCTGCTGCTTCAGCTTGGCTGCCTTCTTCTAGGGAGGAGGGTGTTGAAAGGTTGTTCAAGGTAACCAAGAAAGCATGGGGCAAGGCTGGACTAAATCCAGATCTCCAGACTCCAGGATCAGCGCTCCTAATGTGGTGACTCTGTCGTTACCTGAATAGTAGGAACAAAACTAATTAACCCGGAAGGCATTAAGAAGTCTGTCTTTGGTTCTTTATTTAGTGAAAACATCAGGGCACACTGAGTAGATCGATTGACTTCCACAAAATGCAGTGCTATGGTTACATCGGACTGCTTCTGTGTGGCCTGGCAGGGGCTCAGGGTTGGGGGAATGAGAGTTATCCTACCCTGCAACCTCTGTGAACATTTTGAATACACCAGACTGGTTCATGCTTTGCGTGTTGCCTTCCCTAAGATTGCAATACCCCTCCCATTTCATCTCAGAACAGATGATTACACTTTCAAACCGAGTTACACTGCTTCCTCTTTGGAAGTATGGTGGGTCTTACCAGATTAATACTGGCAGACAAACTACATTTCCCAGAACCCCCTTCCACTGCTTTGCTTTCCTGTTGATATTGGTTGGCTATAGGAGATGTTTTGAATGACTCCTGGAATACAGAAGTGAAGCTACCTTGTTTTAACATGTAGAAGGTAGCTGGTGCAAGGAGTGGGCAGTATGTGTTACAGTGTCAGATACATGTTGTTCCTGGTGGACTGGCTTATGTGGTTAAGGAGTGGCACCAGCGGACACCTCATAGTTTCTCCAGTTCCTACAATCTCTCCTCTTGGAGCAACTTTGAATCCTAGACCAGCATAGGCAGGGTGTCCTGGTGGGGTCCCGGCTGTCCTTATTTTCTTTTATCTTACTCCATTCCCTTCTCCCTTTCCCAGCTGTCTGCCCTTCTGACTCAAGTGAAGCATAAACTTAAGAGCCACAGCCTGACATAAATTAATTAGCCAGCACTTACAACTGTGTGGATCAAAGCTCGGTAGCAAATCTATATCATGGCCCATGTTTTGCCTCCTTGATCAAAACTTAACTGTTCTGAAGTCATCTGTGATTCCTCGGAATTAATCACGTCCCTGTCACATAAGTCTATTTCAGCATGTAACACACGGTGCTGTTTTTCCAGGTTTGACAGTCTCTCCTACCCTGGTGAGCTTAGCTGACTGACAACGCCCTGTGTGCTTGTTTTGTGGCCAACACTGTTCTGAGCATTGTTTAGTGCTTACAGGCACATAATGAAGCAATGACTATCATTACTATTTCCATTTTATAAACAAGGCAACCCAAGACCAGGAAAAGCAAGTGACTGGCCAATGCTCTCCCAAGCAGGGAGTGAGAATCAGGAGCCTGGCCCCACAGTCAGCTGACACTCTTCTCCCTGAAGTGGCTCTTCAAGAAACAAGCCTCTCCCACACACGAATGGGTGATCTGTCTACCTGCCTGGAGGAGAAAATGACTTTTCTATGAAGTCAAGGTTGAGGGAGAGTTGATGAAAACGAAAGCTTTATGGCCTAAGATGTTTTTGCATGGACCTTTAGTGCCTCTGTTTTCAGAATGGAAGTCCATATTCTACATGATCCATAGTCAACCTTTGTTGGTAGATTTACCAAGTAATTATCACTTGAAAGCCACCCGCACACTCTGTGGGAGACAGAAGTATTAACAAGACACACCCCTAGATGAGCTCACTTTTCTTCTAGCCCAGCAATGCCCCACCTTGGTTGGAACTCTCTGGGTTTCTTCTGGTGGAGACTTGAACCTGTATGGATGGAAAGGTTCCTATACAGGCACGAGGCATGCAATTAATACATGACACTTCACTTTTTATATGAACAAAGAAATGCATGCACAAGTAGGTGGGCACCTTTGGGAAGGTCAGAGGTCAGCATCATGTGTCTTCCTCATCACTTTCTGCCTTATTTTTGGAGACAGGCACTGTCTGGAACTCATTTATTCAGGTAGGCTGCCCGGCTGTCCAGGGAGCTTCAGAGATCTGCCTGTCCGACTCTCTCCAGTCTTGGAATTGCAGACCTGCACCACTCTGCCCAGCTTTTACTTGGATGCCATGGATCCAAGGCTCGGGTCCTTATGCTTTTTGCTGCAGCACTTTACCACAGAGCCTACTCCTCAAGCCTTACTGCTTCATAATCGGTATTATGCAAACGTCCCACAGAAGCCAAAGCATGAGAAAGGAAAGTAGGATAAAATTTGAATTCATGATCGGTATTCATGGCCAGACTTGGAGTGAAATTGAATTTATCTAGTCCAACCTTTTATTCACAGATGAGGAAACAGGCTCTGTGAAAATAGATCCTCCAAGTCCGGAAGAAGTGCTCAGGAAAGCCTTTCTCCAGGAAGTAGCAGCAGCAGGCAGCTGAGACTTAGGTTCAGAGAGAGCCTCTGCCTTCCTGAGCACAAAGTCCTTATCATAGGGCTTCATCTGCTACCAGGCCCAGGACTTGCCACATCTCCTCTATTGGATGATGTAGTAAGATGTCTAACTTAGGGCTCTCCTGGCAATACAATGTCATTTCCCAGCCTGTTGCATGTCCTGACCTTTCTAGGACTTTAGCCCAAGCTCATACAGTCTTTCCATTCTTCCCACAACTGAGAGCTAGCTTCCCTAGGAGCCCCTGCCATATCTCAATATCCCTAGACAGGAACCTCACAAGGGAACTGAGTTAATCCAAAGGGGAAAGGGACCATGGATCTTAGAAAGAAGAGCTAAGGGGTTTGACTTCCCAGTTCTTTTTGAGTTTTCCCATTTGGGAATGATTCCTCAGAATAAAACATGATCAGTGCGAAAGATCAGGAGGGATGGTCCATTAGCCTGTGTATTGGATAAAACTGAGACTACAATAAGGAAGTGCCCTGCCTGAAGGGCACACAGAGAGAGGCAGGCTGGGGATGGAGGGTTCTTCATTCAGGGTATTGATAAGGTGAAGTTGGTGACCCAGATCTCTGCCTTTGAGTATTTGAGCTGTTTTCAATTTGATTGGAATTGACAGGTTAGATAACATGATGTTCTTAGCTCTGACTACATATCAGGGTACCATACATATGTTTGTACATATTGAAAACAAAAACACCATCTGCTATTGATTTCCAATGACAGTTTTTGTCAATATTTAAATTTTACAGTGATTGAAATTTTATTTTTTAAACTCTAAAATCTTTATTGTCCTGGTCTCCTGTGACGGTCCAAAAGGAAATGATAAAATTGGAAGGAAGAAATGTGAACGACTTATACTGACATTGTACAAAGGCAAAACCCCTTGCACGGCAGGTTGAGAACTTGTTTCTATGGAATCCACACACATACACTATCCATACTGCTTTCATGATCCCCTATGATAGGGTGTGACTGTGCTGTCATGCCAGCAGACACACATTTTCTTACCCCAAGCTGAGTGGAGTTTATGGAGGAGATGGAAACTATGACTGGTTCATATGGGGGCTTTGGGGGGCTATTCTAGGCAGAAAGGATGATATTGAGAAGGTGTGCAGCAGCCTGTAGCTTGGCTACATAATGTTGTAATGGAAATGGTCAAGAGGGACATGGAAGGCAGTGGTGTAGCCTATAACATGAAGGACTTTAAATAGCGTCTCTGGCTGTGCCAGGCACAAGGAGATTCAAGAGTGAGTGGAAGTTGGTCCTCGGGACACTTAAAACCCCCATCCCCGCTCATGCACTGTCACCTGGTATTCCTTATCTTGCCTCATCCTTGTCACTAGCAGAAGCCTGCCTTGCTACTGCCATTCCCAACAGTCCTGCAAGTTTAAATCAGGGCTTTTAAGACTTGAATTCCAGCATTCAGCAGGCAGAGGCAGGCAGGTCTCTGAGTGTGGAGCTACAGAGTGCCAGGTCTACAGAGTGAGTTCCAGGACAGCCAGGCCTGCACAGAGAAACTCTGTCTCCTCTGGTCTTCAGGTTTCAGTATCCTACTCATTTGCAATGCTCTGGAGTCCTGGCTGTGGGCCTCTGAGTTCTTAGTGAGCCTTGATGTGGAGCAGCAGGAGCAAACCCTTCAAACAGCGCTGCTGGGAGTAGAGATGAATGCCACCAGGATTGTGGGGCTAGAGTCACAGAGACTCCTGAGCAAAAGAGGGGCTCTCCCAGCACAGTGAGGATCCTGTGTCTTCCTCCTGAACACTACTATGGCCAACAGACTGCAGTGAGGCCGGCAGGACTCTGTGGAAAGATAAAGAACACAGTCAGGCCAGCATTTTCTCTACTTTTCCCTTTTGCACAGAAGCATGGTTAACTTGACTGCAGAACCTGCATGGGTCAAAGGTAGACCAGTAACATCTGCTGAAACACACACATGCATACCCACATGCGTGTGTGTGCGCGCGCACACACACACACACACACACATACCCACACACACATACACAGCCCTCCATGAAACACACTTGTGGGTATCCTCCTATAAAACAAGCAAACCCTACCAGATGTTTGGAGGCATTGTGAGTGTTCCTGCCCTGGAAGGACCTGCCTCATCATGTGGTCCTTTTACCCTTGTTAGAATCTAATTCATACTTAAATATTGTTTGATATCCAGACCACCCACAGCCAAAAGGCCATTTCCAGACAAACAGGATCCCTTCCTTTGGGATTTTCCAGGCCTGTATCACACATGCCCCGGGGACATGTTCTCTTCAGAAGGTAGGGTCAAGGCTCCTAGCACATAATCTCACACAATAGGACCTGGCAAAGACCTCTGAAGAGTAGCATTCTAGGCTTAACTGTGATGCAAACCCTGAGCTGAGATGATTCAACAATTACCTTCTAGAAATCACTCCACAAACATTGGGATGCCATCATAACTCTTTATATTTTGTCATGACTCCTAGGTATTGTGTCTCCTGACTGACACTGGCCTTAGATAATCCCATTTATTAAATGAGGATACCAAGGCTCAAAGAAGCTCACTGACTGGTGCCATGGTGACACAATTATCTACGAATTGTTGGTGGAGAGTTAAAGCCCACCGTGGTTACTGTTGGATCCTAACCATCTAGTGGGGCCTTAGAAAACACTCAGTAAAAGGAGGAAAATGAGCCAGTCTTAGGGATGAGATGGCGATGAGACTGAAGGTGGACAAGAGTTGCTTAGAAGAGGTCTGGTTTATGGAGGCACATGGGCAAGCTGCTCACAACCCAAGAAGAGTTTGGGAACAACAGGGAGGGCGAGTTTAATTTTCACAAGCTGGGCGAGCATGTCAGGAGCTGAGCAGGGTCTCGCACATTTCTCATGGATTCTTGATGTTGCTGCAGTCACCACTAACCCTATTGGTGAACCTGGAGGGATATGGTATGGGGTGGGAAAATGAGATGAATTAGAGAACTCATGGCAAACATAGAGTGATTCTGAGCAGCAATGAGCAAGCCTGCTTCCCTGGTTCGCTTACAGCCCATTGTTTACACAGATTCTTGGGTAGACAGTCCAAGAGTTGTACAGGAAGGGCCATTGTGGAATGATCAGGAAGTGTGAGGGAAAGAAGTCCTCTCCTTCTTCATGCTCTAGCAATAGTTTTCCTTGGCAAGACACTGTGTAAATTATAAGAAGGTCTTGACGGATAAGCTGTCAGGTTAATATGTCACACCAATAAGCAGCACATTCTGTAACTGAAAGTGATTGCTTACCAAGTTGAGAAAGTAAAAGCTTCAAGGAGGAAGTGCTAACAGGTTGGAAAAACCCAGGGAAATTTTTTTCAACTTATTAAACGATAAGAATACACATCTCCAGTGTCCTTTAGAGATGTCCTTAGGGAAAGGATAAAAAAAATAAAAAATGGAGTTGGTGATATCTCTTCAGCTTGTCATTCCACCTGCATTTCCAATGCTGGTGAAGTTAGCTGTGACACAGAGACTCTGCATCCCAAGGATGCAGGCTCTGCTGCTGGGGATGAGTCTTTCCAAGGGTCTGGTTTCCTAGCTGCCTGGCAGTGATCACCTAGTTACTGGCAGGAAATCTTTTCAGCATCAACTTTAGAGGGCACAGCAGTGTGTAAGTCATGAACGTCAACTCAGTGGGAATCAGTATTTATTAAGTTCCTGGGACTTGTCAGGTCCTGTACTAGACAACAGGGTACTATCCTGTGTTGGCAAACTTTTCTTTGCTACCCATCAGTTCCCAAATAACCGACACAGAAACTTAATATTAATTACAAGGCTCAACCAATAGCTCAGACTCGGTACTAGCTAACTCTTATATTTATGGTAACCCAGATTTTCATCTGTGCTTTGCCACATGGCTTGGTACCTTTTCTCAGTACGGCATGGCCATCTTGCTTCTCTTTGCATCTGCTGGTGACTCCTCAGACTCTGTCCTTCTTCCTCCCAGCATTCTCAGTTTGGCTCTCCCGCCTAACCTTATATCTTGTTCAGCTATTGGCCAGTCAGCTAGCTTCTTTATTAAACCAACCACAGTGACACATACTCACACAGAGTAAAGGAATGTTCCACAGTCCTAGACCAGGATGCAGGGTGCTTGCCCAGAGGACTTTCCACTCTACCAGCTCTTGCAGCTGAAGAGGCCATGAAGACTGTGTGGGTGAAGATAATGGGAAAAGGAGCACAGAATGGTAAACAGAGGCCAGCCGAAGCTGGAGTGAGGACCCAGAGTCTGTCACTTACAATTTACACTCGGATATCCTAGATAAGTTTATGTCACTACAGAACAGAAATGAAGGGCATTGTACTTCTTCACAGTGTGGTCTGGACAAAACAACTGCAGAGGATGTGGGCATTATCATTGATGGATCCTTGAACCAATGCAACTTACCAGTGAGAAGTTTTATCATTTTGTTTTCTGAGGCAGGATCTTCTTGTGTGGACCAGGTGACTCCTTGGCCCCCAAAGTTCTTACAATCCACCTGTCTTAGCTTCCACAGTGCCTGGAGAGCTATTTAATTTTATTAAAGGGAGGGGAGTGCTCAGTATTTATGTACATAACTTGAAAAAAAACACCAATTCTTGTCATATTCCTACCTAATTTTTGATCTCCCTTTGTTTGTATTTGCATTATATCTATTAAGCAGAAAATAAACCAGTCAAGATAGTTACATTAGTGTATTATAGGGCAACAATTAGTGCAATATGGGGCAACATTACTTTGAATAAAAAGAGGACATATTTTATGTTGGTAGATATACTACAAAAATCCACAAAAACAACTACATATGCCTTGGAAAAGTGGTTCTCAACCTTTGGGTGTCCATCCTTTAAGGGGTGAGGACGTGTTGAATGACCCTGTCACAGGGCCACATATCAAATATCCCCGCATTGCAGATATTTTCATTGCAATTCATAACAGTAGCAAAATTACAGTTATGAAGTAGCAACGAAAATAATTTTATGCTTGGGGTCACCACAACATGAGGAATTGTATTAAAGGGTCAAAGCATTAGGAAGGTTGAGAACCACTGCCTTGGAGGTTATTGGTCTGGTTCTCATTAACAAAGTGCTTGGGTGGGTTCATTGCCATGTGTCTGCCATGAAGGAGCTGGAGCCAAGTAAGTGTCCAGGTGAACTTGGCTTCTTGTGTGAGCCAAAGGTGTGTGCAGATAAAGGTCACAGAACCAACACATTCAAAGTTAGATGGTGCTAGAGTCTTTGTGCAGACAAGAGGGAGCCACTGTGGCTGCTGAGTGAGACTCCATGCCTTATGTATTATAAATGAGAACATGGCTTTCAACAATTTTACTGCTGCGTTAGTTTTATTTTTTCCTGATTTTTCTATTCTACTTTGTTTGTATTCAACTTGTGAGTCTATACTAGCCAGCTAACCAGAGTCTGTTAAGATAGCAGTCTTTTTTGAGACAGGGTCTTTCTGTACAGCTAGAATAAAACACAACTCCTGTGTCAGCTCCCCAAAGTGCTAGGGTTATAGACATGAGTCACTCCCCCTGGCTAAAGTCCATTCACTGGACTATAGGTTTTGATTTTCTGTTAACATGTCTGCTCTTAGACATGAGACAGCAAAGACCAATGAGGCTTCTTTCTATGTCCCTCTGTGGTTGTAGAGTCAGAAATCAGCACTGGCAAAGAAATCCCCAAAGCTGCCTATAGTGCCACGTCAGCAATTAACCTGACACACTCAGAACCTTGCTGAGTACAGACCATGCCAGTCCCACCTGTACCTTCGGAATTTCGTCTATGGTCCCACCTAGATGCATGCTCAGGGGAGTTTAGGAACACAGACTGCACATATCCCGGGACCCTGGATGTAGACAGATTCTTCTAGGGTGTTGAGAGCCAATTGCTTCCCTCACATTTCCACTCACGCACTGGTTGGTGAATGAACCTTAAATCAGAGCAGTAAGTCTGGCAAATCTAACCTTCTGATTTCTTTGCGCTTTGGCTGAATGTCATGGATTGAATTATGCCCCCCTTAAAATTACTATGTTGACAGCCTAACTACCTGTAACTTAGAATGTGATCTTCAATGGAGACAAGCTCGGTGAAGAACTACTCAAGCCAGAATGCGGTCTAATTCAGGGTGGGCTCTAATCCCGTGTGTTTGCTATCCTCATAGAAGAGAACATCTGTACACAGACAAGGATGTGCACATGGGGAGAATGCCGTATGAATATGCAGATGTCCCTTGTAAGTCAAGGCCTGGAACAGGTCTTCCTTCTCAGCCCTCATAAGGCACCCACTATGCTCACACCTAGACTTAGGACATCTAGAGTCATGCCTGGAAGACAAGGCCTTCGGTGGTTAAGCTGGCTCAGTCTGCGCTGGGTTGTGGCATTCCCAGCAAAGAAACTGACTTTTGACCACACTGCTTACAGTTCTTTCTCCTACTCAGATGCTTGGTTTATTTGCCTCTTATCTGGCATTTTTGGCCCTGAGACCTGTAATCTCTAGATGAAAACCCCCAAAGCAGCTTTTCAGGTAATTCTTTGTAACTATCCCCTAAAATCTAAGAAGCAAGTGTTTCATTCAGAGAATCTCAACTCCAAAGCCTGGTGGGGCAGACAGCAGCACACCCTGAGCTTCGGTGGTGTGTGATATATGTTATGCACTTGATGGACAGTGGGAGGAGTCTTGATTCTGAAGTGTCTGCAGTCTCTCCCACGGCAGATCAGACTTTGCTAGAATGAGCTCCCTGAAGGTGGAGATGGGCACAGAGGCATAGCACTGACCTGTTGAAGCGATAGGAGAAAGTTTGGTACACCACTGCCACCTGCAACAACACACTGTTCTACAGGGAAGACCTTTTTCCTTGGTGGCCTTGTGCCTAGGTTGACGCTCAACCAGCCGAGTTCAACATCAGGAAAGCGGGGGCCTTCCGATTTACCAAGTGACCTGTAATAAGCTTCAAGGCCTCCGGGAGCACTGTGTGTGGAACAAAAGGATTTCAACAAATTGGAGGCCTGCCATGTTGGAAGCTTGGCCATCGCAGGACTAGAAAATGCACGTTAAACACTGGGGGTGGGAAGAAGCCCCTCTCTAAAAAAAACAAAAACGTGATTACAGAGTTCTCTCCAGCCGAGATGGTTAGCGTTCCTCTGTGATTCTAGAATTCTTGAATTCTCAGTCTCAAACCTAAAAAGGAAGCACAGAGGGCATGGGTCAGGGAAAGAGAGCAGGAACCCTGCCAGACCCAAAGAACATTCCAGTGGAGGAACACAGGCTGCCTTCAACTATGCCCTGGATTGTGCCACTCCTTTGCTCAAGCCCTCCCTCCGTGTCCCACTTCTCTTGCAGTGACACCCCAAGTCTCTGGAAGCACTAACACAGCCCTACAGGCTTGGTCCCATGTCGCCTCCCCAACCATGTTGTCTGCGGTCCTGTGACGCTCTACCCCAGCATGATCAGGTGCTGCAGCAGCTACACACAATGCACTCCGAGGATTGCTCCCAGGAAGGCACCTCTACGGCCATTTGCTTGGTAAGCCCCTGCTCTCCACCAAGGCCATTGGAACCTCACCCCCAAGCCTGTGAGTCAGGGTTTTCTGCTGCTGGGACAGAGCCCCTCTTGGCACCACAGATCTTTGTCTTGCTTATCAATGTTGACTAACATTGGTCTTCCTGCTAGGAAGCAAGTTCTACAGAGACATGCGGACCTAAGGTGCCTGAAGTGTGCCTGCTCAGGCAAAGCTGCCCAAACGGAAGAGAATACAATTAAAGAGAACAGAAGAGTTACCATTTTTGAGCTCGTTTAAAATTCATGGAGCAGTGGCAAAGACAGTGAAGGTTTCAAATAAACTCCTTGCAAAGATGCCTTATGTCATATATTCCCCCTGAAGGCTTGTGATATTAGGAATAACATCACTATTTATAATTCTAATGACCTCTGGGTTGCAAAGGTCCTTTCCTCCTCAGCCCTGTCTTCTGCCTCCTCTGCTCTCTTCTCCTCTTTTCTCTCCTTTCCTCAACTCCCCTCTCCTCTCCTCACGTTAACTCACAGACAGTCCCTACATTTTGAGGCCAGGGAGGACAAAGAGGAGTATACCCATGAACAGATAAAGAGGTCCTTCAACGCTTTCCGATTGGAAAAAGCACCAACAGAGCTGTAGGGGCTTCCTAACTCCTGGCTCATCCCTGTTTCTTTGGGCGATGCAGCCGTTTCCCAGTAAGACCCCCTTCTCTGCTCTGGCTGCCTGGGCTAGAGCGTTGTCCTGACAAGGTGAAGATGGCAGCTGCCTCACACAGGCTGGGATGGCCCTGAGCAGCTGTGACCCACACTACAAATGGTGAGTCATTGGCAATTCCTTCCCTCCACACTGCACACTCTCCCTTCACTCAGTCCTTCCGAGCTCTGTGCACACAGCGCCAGAGGAGGAGCTGCTGCCAGCCCCAGCTTACCACAGGGTCCTCAGGCGCCCTGCAGCCTGGCCACTGGGATGCCATCTGGCACTCACCACAGCTGCAGGGCCTCCAGCCTGACCTAGAGGTCCCGAGTGGGGGCTTGGCATTGATGCAGGGAAGCCCTCTTGCCTCTGGTCAGTGCACCGGCCTTTCCTTGATGGAACAAGTTACTGATTGTCTCCGGCTCTCACACTCCTCTGCTGTCAGGAGAACGAGCAGCTCTGAGATTCCTTGATCTTGAGTTTTCTCAGCTCCGGATCCCCTTATACTCAGGAAGGGGTCTCAGGGCCCGGTCCCGAATAGGAAAAGTACTAAGTGTGGAGAAATGGAGACTCACAAGCAGAGGAAAGAGAAGAGAAGTGGCAGAGGGAGAGATCTGATATGGACGCAACCGCAGGATCAGATGACTTAGCATAGGTCAAGCATGTAGTCAGCGGTCAAATATTTGCAACGGCAGGAGTGAGAATGACATCTGTCCTGAGTCTCAACTGCTCCTGCCACCCACCCTAACCCAGGCCCTTGCTTTCCGCTGCCATGTGCTCTATCTCTCTCTCTCAGCACCCACCTCTGCTCCGGTTTCCTAAAACAGAGCTGGGTCATGCATTCCTTCCCTGTTCAGAAGCCGTCACTGGCTCCCCAGGACCCCTTGAATTGGGTGCCAAAGATCCACGCTGTCAATCAAGAGTCCTCCTATCTTCCAGGCTACTCATTCCCCACACCTTCCCAGTGCTTTGGTAAACCTGCACTCTCTGCCCAACGGCAGGTGATAGTTGTTGATTTCCGGCAAGGAGCAAAGAGATGGTATGTTAGGTGTGGCTCTGGGGCCAGAAAATACGTGCTTAAGAGCTGTGTGGCCTTCAACAAGCTCTGAGCCTCGGTGTCCCCACCTCAAAAGAAGGATTTGATAAGGGCACCTCTGGAGGGATGGCTTTGAGGACAGACGCAGGGAGGGGAGACAACTGATCTGCCCTGTGTCCCGACATTGGCTGGGTTCTCCCGAGAACTGAACTTCTTCATGGCAGCCTGAGGCATCCTTCCCGATCCCTCCTTCCTCATGCACTCAAGGCACTCCCTTCTTTCCCCTTCACAGGCTAGTGACTCAATTGGTTTTTTCCTTCCTTTTTTTTCCTGCCTGAAGTGAAGATCCTGAATGTAAGAAAGGACCTTTCACTCACAGCATCCAGCCCTTCCAAGTTGCCAACCAGAGCACATTAGACTTAAGTGTAAAACAAAGAAAGTGGAAAGAAGATATGGATCAGTGAGATTTTTGGAGAAGCACCTTGAAATCCTCAGGGCGGGCTACCTCTTCCCCAGATGGGATACAGGATGGATGAGCACCAGCTCTAAGTTAGGCATGTATCCTCCTATGAGTGGATAAAGTCACCAGACATGGCTTTCTCTGCTCAGGACCATGTTGCAATGGAAGGGGGTTGAGGGTGATGGGCAAGGGAGGAAAAGGGTTCGAGGGTGGGAGGCGGCAAGAGGGGCAGGCAATGAGAAAGCATGACTTCACTCTAGTTTACCTCTTACCTGCTGGGGCAGCTTGGGGGTATCGCCTACTCTGGCCCGTAAAATGAAAGAATCAAGTTCTTGAAAGACAAAACCAAAAGCCCAAAACAAACTAGTGCTCTTAAAGGTGAATCGCAGAGCAGCAGCAATGGAGTTCTACAAGAGAGCAACAGGAGTATGGATGTGTACTGCCTGTCTGGATCAGCAGCTCTGTAGAGGAGCCCAGCTAACCACCGGAGTCATCTGGCCCTCAGATATCCTGAGGTATGGTCAAGTTTGAAAACCACGGAGCTATGCACATGGAGGCTTTCAAAGTCCTTCCCCTTTTACTTGCAGGCAACTTTTCTTTCAGTGAAGTCTGAGTCCTCTGGCTCACGAAGGAGCAGAGTACCACACATTCACGCTGTCGCTCTGCACTCTGCTCAGGGAAATCCCTGGCTTCTAAGGCCTCAAGGGTGTCTACACTTTGGGACCCTGGAGTGTGCCTAGACAAGGTGTTAGCGGTTGATCCTTTGGGAAGGTATCCTATGATGACATCCTGGTCCAGTGGCCCAGCAGGCCTGAGGCAGGATTCATGTCAGAGGCCTCAGGCAGGGTGGGGCTGAGGCCCAGGGAAGCCCTCGTGTGGCGGGCAGCTGAGGTTCAGGTGTGTGACACTGTACTTCCTTTAGTACAGAGCAGGGAGCCACTGTTTCATACCTGTGGGTGTGAGGGAGAGCTGTTCTGGGTTCTGGGAGGTTGTACTCAGTTCATTTTCACACTGGCTGCCTTTGGAGACAATATGGCACCACCCTTATTTTTATATCCCTTTCACGGGGCTCAGCAAAATCCTATGAAGCAGTCGACAGACTGTTTAAGAAATATTCACTGGGACCCACAGGCTCCCTCCCTGCCCCTCCCCCATGCCATGATGACTCGTCTCTTGTCATTTTATGGAGTCACGATGACGGTGAGGAGGATCTTTGGGAGACAGAGTGGGTGGGGAACCCCGTGGTTAGAGAACCTCATAGCAGGCCACACTGTTGCGGAAGCAGAAGTCAAATGGCGTGGGTAATGCTCTGTCTGGTAGATGAAGGCTGAAGAGCACAAAGCAAGAGAAAGGGCAGGCATCCCTTCCCTGGTGGAGGCAGAAGCCAGGCCTCCACTCTTTGACCACAAAACAGAAATCAGACCAAGAAAAGAAGAGGCAGTGTAGAGAGGCAGAAGACAGTGCTGGACCTGGAGCTCGTGTGACAGTGGGTACCTTCCTAACCATTCCAGCAGATGTGCCTCCAGCAGCCAGGCAGAAGGAAGTCTGTGGTCTGGGGCCCCACCCTGGATAGTTCTGTAATGGTGCCATTCTCACAGAAGAGGAAGTACATGCCATGGGCAGGCATTGCTGTCTTCCCACGGAGGGACAGTCCTTTTCTTGGTCCAGGTGCTGTGGAATGAGACCCATCTCTTCCTATCCACGTGTATTGGTCTTTGGAAATAGGGAATGATAACAACTCCAGCACATTCCCTTTGCCTAGGTACATGAAAAAGCACAAAGGATAGTATTGGTCATACTGGCATCTCTCCTTTACCTAACGTTGCCAGTTATAGGAGTTTCACGCACATTATCTCATCTGATGCCCTCAGTCAAGTCTGGCCACAGATTCTTATCCTTGTAAGGAAAACAAGATCTAAGGAGGTTGACGTCTCCCAGTGTCATCGAGCATGTCTGGAGTCGCTAAGGTGCTTTTGATTTGGGGGTTCATCGTTTTATTATGCCTTTCTACTTTCTTTTCCATGATATTCAAGTGCTTTTTCAAGAGTATGCTTGTGTCACCATTGTTTCATGCCACTCCAGATGCTTGCAACCATCACAAATAATATCTTATTTCATCCCATTCCTGGAACTCAGCTTTTTTTTTCTCCCCACAAAGAGTAATTCTGCTTCTAAGACTGTGACTTCCACCCTATTTGCCTCAGAGCCCAGACAGAATTCCTTAGGACTCCACAAGGACTTATTGCATTTACTAGTTTTCAGTGAGGTCAAAGGGAAACACCAGTTTGCTATGGATTCCCGGGAGCATGACCCTGATCTCTAAAGTGGTTTGAGCCCTGAGACTGAGAACTTATAAAAGAAGGAAGGTTTGGGAGGCTTCAGGGTGGATGGCTTGGTCTGTGTGATGGGAATCACAATGTAGTCTCAGGCACCCACGGCTCTGGAGCTAGGCTCTCATGGGGGCCAGTCCCTTGCTTGTCTCTGAATTTTCTTTTCACCACACTTCTTAACTAAGATGGTAACAGCTGTCTATGAAATGCTCTGTGACCAGCCATCAGGCATTGCACCAGAGCCAAGTATTGTGGAACAAATGAGCTTTGCCTAAACTCCTCTCCCAAGGCATCCAAGTGTGGAATATTTGTAGAAACCCCAAACGCCATGGCCAGAAGGGGTATTTTAGCAGTTAACATACCAGACCATCTACTCAACCTCAGCCTCCCTAAGGCCTTTGACATGAACCCTGCCTCAGGTCTGCTGGGTCACTGGCCCAACACTGGCTACCGTCTGAAGCTGAGATGGCCCAATGTGCATACTTCTCTTGACAGCTCACTTCCCTTCTGGAAGGCAACCCAGGTTTTTGCAGTTCATCATCATCAGGAAGCCCTGTCCTTCACCAATGAGAAGCTGGCTGTATTCCATTTGCACCATCCTTCACTGCTTTGTCCTCTGAAGGAATTGCCAAGGTGAGTCTGCCTTCCATCTCCATTTCCACCAGTGACAGAAGGCAGCCTCACTGCCCTTTTTGTGGGGGGGAGCTTAAGAGTGCCCTCCCCAGTGATCATGAAAAGGGCACTAGTTCTACCTTCACCTCTTCCATCTCTGTTGGTCAAGGAATGGATGAAATCATTCTACATCCTCCAATACTTGTGTCCTGGAGGTGCCGGTTTGTCACTAGACTGCTGTGCTTGCTCTGTAGAAGAACACAAACTTTAAGGAGAAAACTGAAAAAGAAGGAAGGAAGAATGGAAGGATGAGCTAGCTATAGAGGATGAGTGCTTCTGCAAGGAGGTGGAGAAGAAAGATGTTTACTCTCTATAGCACGCTGGTGGCCCCAGGAAGGGATAATCATCACAGGCAGACTAGGTGTCTGTTTAGTCCTCTAGGGACCACACACCCGCAAGACTTTCTTGTCTTGAAGAATGGTCAAGGCTGCAGATGAATATAGAACAGCACTTCAGAAACACTGGAATGGAGCCACTTGCCCTAAGTCCATAGAAAAGAGTTTCTGAGCTCAAATGTCTGACGTTCCAGGAATCATTTCATATTTGAGGAGCATAGGGATGACAGTCAACAGACTAGAGTCCAAAAACCTAGGTTGGACTATGAACTTCCTTTTTTTTTTGTCTGTGAGTTATTGCTCAAATCATCTCAGTTTTGTGAGTCTTAGATTCTCAGTCAATAAAACAGAGAAAGAACATTCCTGAGGGGTGTGTGTGTGTGTGTGTGTGTATGTGTGTGTGTGTGTGTGTGTATTGTTGCTGCTGCTTTCTATATCAAATGTGCCACAATTTCCTTTATAACCTACTTCAATTATTGTTAATTATTGTTATTAGAATGGCCTGTCCCCGGATCATTCAACCATCCAAGATATCAAATGCTAATGTGCAATAAAAGAGAGTGACAGACAGTCTTTTACTGCCCTCAGTGTTTCAGGATGTTATATTACAAAGAAACAAACCTGAGCTTTTACCCAAGTCATCATACATTAACTATTGAGATAACATGCTACCAGTTATGTCCCAGTCTACTCAAATGCATTTGGGGAAATGAAACTTTTGTATTCTGCTCTGGTTTGAAATCTTTGTAACCTG